CATCATCCAGCTGTAGCGTCGAAAGCTTGAAGTCCTTTTCAACGAATCCTTCCTTGTACGTGTCGTTCTGGAAGACATAGACTTGATTGCGTTTGGAGACCTGCTTGCGAGTATATACCTTGATTACTTCCTCATAGTTGAAGAACCGCTGGGGAGGCCGCATCGTGGAAAGACCAGCGCCAACTTTCTTCCGTTTGCGACCATCTACACTCGTGTCGTCTCTCGGGTTAAGATCGATACGAGGTATAAACTTGAGGCCAATATCTTCGCCGTTTTCGGTTATATCCACTACCTGCGCCAGGTCGCCTTGGTATTTTCCGCGCTTGATACGAACCCACGTTCCGGGGGTGACTGTTAGGTCTTGTTTTTTTATTTGCAAAAGGCTGGCCATCTCCTCGATAGGTACCAAAGTGATGCCGCGGCTAGGGTAGACACCAACGAGACCCTTGATTGCTTGATTAACCTGCTGGGTACTACGAGCTTCCACGTAGATCATCCCTGGTAGCGAGTCTCGTTCAAAGGCCGATAATATTGAGAGCGGTTGAGCCGTATACTCGAGATCAATCGCCTTACGCATGAGACTGAACACTATATCACGTTCCCGCCCAGGCTGAGAAAGTAGTGTTAATGGGGCCCCCGAGGTGTTGACTGGTGGATTACCTTGACTTTGACTTGCCACAAATTCGCATCATGGACCGAAGGCATAAGCAAGCGCTGTGGAACCTCGTTCATATCTCCCGTATACCGTACGGCAGCGCGTCCATAGCGTTCGTGAAGGTTTTGCGCAATTTTGGCCAGGTCCTGTTCATTGAATTCTCGCTCTCTGCGATCAAGACGAGCGTTGACAGCTGCTCTTCGATTCATGTCATCATCTTCCCCCTCCAGTCCAGCCTCTGCAATGAACTCATCTAGAATAACGTGGTCAAAGCTGTGGCAACAGAGATCAATTATCATGACATACCAGCACCGGCTTCCTCCTCTTCCTCCTCTTCCTCTTCTTCTGTGTCCACCTCGGCCTCTACATCGAGGAAGCGGTTGACTGCATTGCGTTTACGGTGCTACACCGGTTATAGTTTTGTGCGAATAGACTCGAATGTATGTCGCGAAGGACTAACCTTTGCGCGTTTCCTCCCGCGGTGATCGTCGTCGTCGTCGTCTTCCTCGTCTTCTTCCTCTTCCTCTTCGTCATCGTCCAATGGATCATAAATAGAGCCTCGAGACTTTCCAGTCTTGCGTTCCGACCGAGTCTGCTCAACCTCTTCCTCCTGCTCAACCTCTTGCTGCACGGGATCGGACTCCTGATCCTGTATTGGGTAGTCGTCGTCCATGTCCATGGTAGTAGGAAGAAAGGTGTGCTTGGATCCCATTGACGCGAGCGTTCGCTTTGCTGATTAGTCAGCTTTCTACTACCATAATCATGCTAGTTACATAACAACTTCGAGATGGCACTTCCACTCGAGCTGTTGCCAATAATTCTTGACTTTGTTCTTAAGCCTCAGCACATATTCACGCTATGCCTTGTGAATAAATCCTTCAACATATTTGCGACACCCATACTGTATCGTCGCGTATTCATCTTTCCCTGGTACAAAGAGGCAAAAACCAAGGTCGGTCTCTCAGGCTGACTAGAATTTACTTGCTTCAAGGTGATGGTCCCGTTTGAACAGATCATCTTGCTCTTCAGGACGTTATCCAACTGTCCTCATCTCGCCCGCCATGTAGAGAAATTAGGCGAGTCGCTGTTGAGCTGTCTCGACTTCAATCTCATACAGCACCGTGGTAGAGATTAGAGACTTTCCAAAGGCTCTATCCGCAAACTCCAACTCCGATTTACGACAGACATGCGTAAAAGGGGTCAGAAACTGCGTCAACCTCGTGTCTTGTACATGGACCCGAGACGGATCCCTCGATTCTACGATCCTCAAGTCCATCCATAGCTGTACTCAGCTGCGTGAGCTGGAGATCAATGGGAATGACAGTGGATATGATCCCAATATACTCACTCAGTTTTCTCACTTGAGCAAGATCTCGTTAATCATGCCCAGCACTCGCGTTTTGGATATTCTTCCCACCTGGACTTCGATCACGGGCGAAACACTTCGCAGGCTCACGATCATATGCAAGGTAATGTTACCACCCGGATCTAAGCCAAAGCACAGACTATAGCTGTCAGTAGGCGTCGACCCATGTAACAGATGCACTTCTCGCACATCTTGCGCCCAACCTTCAAGGATTGGAATGTTTGTACATCATTGGATGCCCCAGAGTGACCCACGCGGGTATCATGGCGATTGCATCTGCCAGTACGAGCGGGCTTATCGAGATAAGTCTGGAGGCACTCTCACAGGAATTTGTACGTGTTTCGCGTACATGCTTGACCTGCTGGCCTCAGACGTGCGTCCGGTAGGATATGTCTGCATTCAAAACCGCATGCCTCCGCATTAACGCATTGAGACGGTTGAGAGCGATTACTCTGACCGTCCATATAAACATGCCTCTGGCAGAGTGGACTCGCGACGTCGAGGAGCTCCTATCTTCGGCGCCTCTGGAGGTATTCTCGATATATTCCACAACCAAGACGATATGGACCCCCATACTAGATGAATTTTGGGATGGTATAGTCACAAAGCATGGTCAGCGACTAAGGAGAATCTCCATTCATCGCATGCAAATCGGCCTTGCCGCACTGGAATTGATTTGTTCGCAATGTCCATTGCTTGAGCAATTATTTATAGTAACAGAGGAGAACGAACTAGTGAGTCCCCCAATTGATTGTGATCTCTCACTCCTGAATGCCAAACAATCTTATTTTAGGACGATGTTGCTCAATTATTCGCGTTGGCAAAGAATCTTCGCACAGTGCACATCAACTTGTCAATGGCAACGAGCCAGTCCCTGCCCATGCTAATGCAAATAGCAACCTCGATCCTTGCCGTTTGCCCCCCGATTACTCACATTGGATGTAACACGAGAGCGTGGCAGGTAAGAGAACACGGGTTAGTATCGCAGGTTTCCTTGCTCAGCTCCTTGTCAAGGTGAACAGAATCGTTCGCGAGGATGAGAAGGGCGAGAAATACGTTTTACCAACGCTGGCTCCACAGGAGAGTCCTGGTATCCCAGAACAATTCCTTGTCGTTCGGGCATGAGCATGAGCTTGACGATATCAAATGAGAGATTACGTGCTCAAGATCTTTCACAGGGGTTCTTATTGGATCAATATAATGCCGTTATTTCTCCGCAGCACAGGTGTCAAGATACTGGATTAATCGGTGACGCGCACGTCGACAGTTGGAGCGTGATTGTGTGAATGGATACCCGTATTGTGAGGAGAGTATTGGTTAGGAGTGGTTTCTGGAATTAGATAGGCCAAACACGTGTAGCTGGGCAAAGTGGCTACAATGGATGGCTTGACACCGTGCACCTTCTGTCCCTTGTCCTCGACGATGGAATCTGCCAGCGCTGTATCGACGAGCACGTCTACGATACGAGCACCTCACCCACGACAAGAGCATCACGCTAGTTCTATCAGCCCTGCAGCCAGTGCTTCACAACCTTCCTCTCCTACACTTCCTTCACCCCCCGACAGCCCGTCAGAGTCAATATCTTCCTTACCCTCCGTCGGTTCCTCCTTCTTTTTCTCCTCTGCCGCTGCCAGTCCCCCGCATTCCCATCCCCACTCTGATCATGCCAGAGATTCCACACTGGCACAGGGGCTCATCATCCCGTCTTTGACCCTCCCCGAAGCCCTCCCGCGACCGACACAGTACGGAAAGACTCTGGGTGACATCCGTTTACTCGTCATTGGGGATGCCGTCGAGGATCATTTATTGTTGTCCACCCTACTGTTCGAGGACAATGAAGACATAGTGGACACCGGCGACTGGGAAGCAACTAGCGACGGGTTCATGCTACGTGCTTCGACGGACTGGATTGAACACAAGGACGCGCATGGTCTCGAAAAGTTTGAACCGTCGCGGAACATTGAGCTGGTTGTTCACCACAGTGTACGTGTGCCATTTCATCACATTACAAATTCATTCTGAACAAAATGAATACCAGCCTTCATCCATACTGCCACTCATCCATTCACCATTCCATTCTCTACTGGAGATAGTTGACCAGCACTGCCACCCGTCTGCCGCACTGACTAATTTGATTGCTTCACCGTGGAGCCCGTTATACACCGCGCTCGTAATTCTGACAGATTTAGGTGAGTCACACCATTTGTGTCTTTCTATGTGTTCATGGAGTTTATTATCGATTGCGTTTAGGACCATCTGGCACGGAGGACCAACTCATTGACACCCTTGCGCCCCATATCCCTGTTATTGTACTCCGCCATGGTCCGGACCAGACCAGGTTCCCCTCACGACCCCACATGGCTTCCTTCAGACCTTCTTCATCTTCTGCCCTCCGTCACGGCTTATTCCGGTCACCAGAAACCCTCTCATCGCTGCGCTACGAGGCAGCTGAACGGTTCCTGCGTTGGCGAGAAGTTGAGCGCGCGGTAGAACATATTGCTGCAAGCCATCGTGAAACCGCGTACTACTCTGAGAAGCCACAGGGTTGGGACAAGGCCAGGTGGGAGGCCGAGTGGGAGATCCGGCTGTCCCAGGACGTCGCTACCCGCAACAGAGAAAACACGGTTACAGCGCGTCCTGATGCGATCGGTCCGCCCCTGCCTTGTGTTGACCCCCTTCACATTTCCAGTCTGCTATCGTTGACTCTTTCTCTTTTTGATCCGATGAGAGACCGCTTCCGCAAAAGCCTGTCGAAGGCTTGGACCAAATTATCTGAGAGCGAGGTGCGAGTTGCATTGCTGGGTAGCTTCTGCATCGGAATTGGGATTGGCCTCATGATTCGATAGTTTCTCAGTGCTGATATCTAGCATTCAACTGCGGGCTCCAGTGTACTACTGTATTGTAATATCTTGGAGGACTCATTCTTGGTTATTCATGGAACTGTTAGGAAGAGCTTACTCCGGGGGATGGCGTTAGTGCGGCTCAATGGTCTAGTAGCATGATACGTGCTTCGGGTGCTTGTCCCCGCCACAAAGGTGGTGAAGATGTACGTGACCCGGGTTCAATTCCCGGTTGAGCCCTTTTCTTTCACCTTACTATCACTTCACTGTCCTTTTTTCCAGTCCTCAGTGGAGCTACTGCCTTTTGGATGTTTTCCATTGATATAGCAGAGATATATACAAGATAATAATGTTACACCGTTGACAACCATTTACAAATAGACAAAGTCCATCTGAGACGACCTCGACCAAACCGGTAAGATTTGAAGGTCATTGTTCTTGAGGTGGCACCACAACTTCGGCGTTGCGTAATCTTGGCCCTATCGCCCTGTTTCGAGAATTGATTTTGCCAGATGGACGCTCAGACTGATCCCGTTTTATAGTTTGTACCACCATCCACCGTTCAATGATCCTGATGATGTCCTGACCAAAGATCAGTTAACACGAACCGTGCTCCTTGCCGTCCTCAGACTTACATCTATAATCGCTTTCGAATACTCCGACTTAGCCCATAAGTACTCTCCCGACGCCTCGTCTCTAGCTGCGATGCGACGCTGAAATTCCAGGATAGTTTTCAGGTGACGCCGCTTGCACAGCTTATCATTGGCCTGTGCCAACAGCTCGTAGATGGCGCACAGACGATCAAGGGACTTCTCTCCTTTCATCAAGAAATCCAAACAAGCTGTGAACGTCCTTCACGCTGGCCACATTAGACGTGAACAAGCTTCCTATGAAGCCCGGTAGGTGGTAGATCGTGTGGGGAAACTACTACGGTATCCGAGATACCGGTAGTCTCCTCTGTTGTCTGGATATCGTTCTGTACGCATGCCGTTCGTTCGTCAAATGTAATGTCTGCATGCGACGTGTACTCACCGACCACTGGCTTTTCTCGAGTGCCGCGAGCGCTGCGAGGCTCATGGACTTCTTCAAGCGCTTCCCTTCCTTGGAACGCAGCTTCTGAGCGACACCGCGCCCGATTCGAGCCGCAACCTGGGCAGTCACCGTCGACTGCACGCCGAACGAAATCAGGGTTTGGACAAAGGCTTCCTCCCCGCGAGCGCGGTAGTCCAGCAGCCATTGTTTGACCTCCCTCCAGAATCCCACTGCCTCCATGGAGTTACGACCGCCAGACAAGATGCTTTCAAGGTCCGAGCTGTCGGTAGGATGGAAAAGAAGGTTCTTCGCTGGTTTGTTGGTCTGATAGCTGATCAACTTGGCTGCCATATGACATTGCATAGTCGCTCGTGAAGCAGCATCTGTGGTTCTGGGGTGCCGCGAAGTCAGGGGTCGGACTGCCATCGTGGTGGTTGATCTCGATGCTAGCTTCGTCCTTGTCAAAGTCGAGTCCCATCGGAGTTGGTGGAGGGGCTGGAGGGGATACTTGTTTCGCCTTCATCGATAAAGGTAGGGTGCGTGTCATAGCGTTTGGCATGTCATTCCATGCTGCAGCTATTTCGGCCGTTGGGGAAGGCAGGGAAATATTCCCGGCGAAGTATTTCCCCAGTAGTTCGATTTTGATGATCAGTTCACTGGCGTAGACGTGGCGCTCCTGGTTCAGTTGGAACTGGCGATCAATGCGTTTGGCGAGCAGTGTCACGGTCATAGTGCGTGCTGTATGAAGGATTGGAGACGGTTGAAGAATGCGAGGCAAGTGAAGTGCTGGGTCCCTTGAAGGTCAACTTATAAGGCATGAGCTTGTGGAATTGTGGCAATTGTGGACGCGCTTTGACAACACGAGGCGTGTCAATGCGTCCGTACCAAGTGGCGACCACAGATTATTCCGAGTGTGGACATGAGAGTATTCATCCTCGCCGACGTCCATTGAATGTCCTTGCCAACCTTGAAAAAAGTCGAGCTTCAGGTGTGTACGACCATCGGATGTCCGGGACAAAGCAAGGGAGACAATAGGATTGCCCGCTTATCTAGGACCACTGTATACTCAGCCTTGAGCGTGTTTCGATTTGGAATGTCTCACCGCAACCGCAACTTGCGAAGATCTTGTCCGCTTGCGGTGTGCTGCACTTCACAGCGCGCCAACACAGAATGACAGGAAAAAAAAATCGAAAGACTCTCCTCCGATGAGTTCTCAATCTGGTAGCGTCATTAGTTAAGGCGCGGAAATTCATGTTCTTGCAACGCGAGATAACTAACAATATGCAAGATCCGTTCATTTTGGGATGGTAAGTTGGTCTCATTTCGTAAGGTCTTCAAAAGGTAGAGCTCTCCGTACCCTACGCAGGTCGCGGCTTCCTCCTGGACTCTCGAGGGGAGGTCTACAAAGATTGACAACTCGTTGTCTGCCGGATCCCTCATGAGGCTGTCTCGATCATCTACATCGTTATTGCAACACAAAAAGGTAATTAGATATGCCTTTGGCGACAATGGATACATACTCGGACAACACTCGAACCCGTCCGGGGTTTGAGTCCATTCGAACGCGGCCGGGTAATATTGGTACAACCGAAGCCAAAGAAACGAGGATGTTGTACCCTACACGATGTCGACGAGAGACTAACGCTGTTCGTAATCTCTCTAAAGCGGACCACGGACGGGCCATTGAGAAGGAAGAGATCTCGTGGAAAGGACCGTATTCCGGTCCAAAACGAGGATTTATGAAAATGCAGTGGGTACATTGCAGTTGGATAGCTCGATACGGACAGAAACAAACGGTTAACCTTGAAAAGCGACACCTTTTTTTGTTGTTTCTGCAAGTCCACCCCCTGCGAATCCAGTTCCTGAAAGCAACACCAAGGTCAAGGTAAGAAGCGACGGAAGGGCAAAATGTTGCGATAGCACGACAGGCCATTTGCACAGTACCTTCCCTCTTGAGCTCCACGATATCTGGGTCCGTCAATTTCCGATCACAGACGATGCACTGGCTAGCGGGCCGCACGAGGGAGTCCGTGCAGACCTTGCATACAACGTGAGAACACGGTTTCATTACTTGAAGTCGTGATATAAGCAGGATGCTTAGTGGCTAACGGGCGCACGTACAGAACAATATTTTGTTATTCGAAAGGTTGGTTTTGCAGGATGGGCATATTGGATGCTTTGCCTCTTCGACCTTTTTGACCTCGTTGCTCACAGGGGTCGAGTCTGTTGAATGCGTACTGGAGGGGGCCAAGGAAAATTGAACAGGAATAAACGATTTCAGGCTTCAGATACGAGGTGAGAGAAAGCATTTATTCTGGGAAATAAAACACACTTGATCGCATGGGGTGGATCCCCTCCTCGACACATCGTTTGAACCTTTACGTCTTTCAGTGACGAAGGGGGGCCATTCGACGTATAGGTGGGCGTCAGCGATGGTAACCAGAAATCAGGTAGTTTGTGCCGCTAGTGCTTCTGCCTGTTCTCGTTCTATCAACCTCAACGCAGCCTCTTCGGCCTCCCGTGCAAGCGTCTCGACGGTTGAGCTGTCGAAATCGAGTTTCCGTTTGCCTGGGCGACCTGTAGAGCGCTCGATGTCGGATCAACTTAAGATAGCGTCCGATATCACAGACCTTCTTTGGTGGCCTCGGCCCCGGACGTCGAGGCAATGGCGGGTAAATTCGCAGACAAGCCGAGTTGGCCTTTCTCGAAATCTCGCAGAACACGATCCCTTGCAGCTTCCAGCACGCGCTGCTTTTCTTCTTCTGCCTCTTTCTTGAGTTGTTCTAGGCGCACTTTCTGTTTCTTGATATCTTTCTTCTGGTTCACTGTATAAGTTTCTTAGTTCAAGTATCGTTGACGGAGCACGCCGCTGCGTACAGAGATCCGAGTATGCACACTCTTTACAGAACAGGTGTCCATGATCGCAAGCAATTGGGTCCCGGGCTCGCTGCAAGCAGAGAGCGCAAGCATCAAAGTTTCGCATGGATTCGTTTCCTAAACGTTGCTGCAGTCGCTCAGCTCACCACCGACCTCTAGAAAGCATGTAACACACACGTACGCGTCTCGTGCCATAATCTGTCTTCTGCTTTTCTGCGTACGAAAAAACCGAAGAGGCCGTGTTATTTTTGCTATGCTTCGTCATGGCGCTAGTAATCTGAAAGGTGCGTGGACAAGTTGAGTTATACAGTAACTTGAAGTAGCCCGCGACTCAGGCACCCAAAATTTTGTGCCGTACTACCTTTGGCTGGCCTGTAGATACTGCCCATATACTCTAATACAGTTCCTTACTAGTCCAGCGGTCTCCAAGTCTCGGAGCGGAATCAGAAGGGTATGCAATAACTTGAAATGCTTCCACCCACACCTTGCCTCGAACCCCGCCGTAAAAATTGGTTCCAACTTGAAGGACACTAGTCCCCTGGTGCCCGACCTTCTAGACCATGTTCGCCTCATCTCGACAACCTATCCGTGTTAACTTGAATTGGGGCTTGTTTATAGTGGCAACTCGACTGTTCGGCCATATGACATTGATTGGCCCGGGTGGTCCTTACTGGCAGCCAATCAAGGTCCTCGACGTGTGTTTCGCCCTTTGCATCTCACTATATTTCACTGGTGATCCTCCTCTTAGGTAGAGGATTACCGTTACAATCGGAGGCATCCTCAACCGACACGTGGCCAAGCGACTACATGACATTCATGATCATTGATATTGATATGTTGATGGGTGACTTCAGTGATCATCACGGTGTCGAAGTTATGCTGTGTCGACGGCTGGGACGAGTGTTAAGCAAGGTGATACTTTGGTGCGCATTTCATCCTGGCTTGGACGGGGATAATAACGTCGGAGACAGTTCCCTGATTGACGTACTGTCGAGTCAAGAATCTCGACTGACTTGTTCGAGATGGTGCCTATGTATCCTATGCAAGCCGAACGTGACATAATGTCAAGGGTATCAATCCCTGTTGATCGATTGATCATCAGAATCCCAATGGCGCATCAGGACTACAAATTTACGCAGTATTGGGACCGGATGATCATCTTTTTCATTGTCCCTCGGGGGTCCCTATCGGTATGGGCACTAATGGGGGCACAATAGCAGCCAGCGATCTCAGCAACGGTCACCAGTGGGGGTCAACGCTCGCCGGGGTTTTTGTTTCGCTAGTCTTCTATGGCGTCAGCATATTACAGACATATGTATGTTGTCCGTGTA